TTATTTCATAAATTATGATTTTGTATTTTTAATTTTAGTTTTCTGCATGCCATCTTACCAGATTTAAATTGATGATCTATAGTCCGGAAAAATCCCAAATCCGGAATCGAAGTCCCAATGAGTCTGGATTTTGGACTTTGTATTGTAGTAATTTTCTTTTTTTTTTTTTTTTCTTTTTGTATGGAACAGGGTCTCATGTAGTAAGTGCGCAATGGATGTAAAAGACATGCTGCATTGGTGTTAGTGACTAATCATTGAGAATATAATAAAAGCATAATGCTTTACTAAGCCATTATCCACTCTGAAACGAGACATAAGTTACTATTTGATGATACACTACTTGATCACTACTGTACCCCCATCCATCATGCAGTTATGCTCTTTCCAAATCAATCAGTTCTTTCTGTCACACCCTGTTCTTCCATTGTTAAAAATAAATTTTAAAAAATGAAACCGTATCTTGAATAGAGCAATTTAATTGAAAATTCTCAAACATTCGAAATATCAGTCCAAATATATAAAACAGCTCAAGTATTACACATGAACAATAATAAGAACATATATAAAGTAAGAATCAGAATGAATGAACATGGGAACAAAAGGGAAAAGTTAAAAATTTAAACGCCAGGAAAGGAACATAATAGATATGCTCTGCATTCTTGATGATTTAAAAGTAACCATTAGCCTCTCAAAAATATGCTTTTTCAGTGACTCTGGATGATATGGTTTGCTGTCTTGTAGTGCAAGTGTTCTTCTTTTGGTGAGTGAGTCTGCCTTTTTGTTATGGTCGATACCTACATGTGAAGGGTTCCATTGAAAAAGATTGCTTTGTTGTGTTTTTAAAGAAAGTTCAAGATTTGTCTTATTTCTGAGATAATCTGGTTATCTGTATCATGATTTATAATTACAGCCTGGATGGCTGCTTTGGAATCAACTAGAGTAACTGCTCTAGAGAAACAATCAATCTTTATCTTGAGGTTTTCCAGAGTCATTGAGATTGCAAGGATCTCTGCATCAAAATTCGACATGAAGTGACCCATAGGACGTTGGGAAAAAAGTTTACTGTATACACCAGCTCCAGTGTTGTCTTGTAAGGCAATGTTACTCGTGTCTGTGATATCCTTAATTCACACTTGCCTCCTGGATGGTGCTTAATGAGTAACATCTATGGCTAAGACGGCTTAGAGTAAATTAAACAGAGCAAAGAGATATCAATATTGCAATAGGTAAATTGCAGTCACAATATTTGCACAATGTTAAGATAAACAAGTGAACTTAATAGGAAAATAAAAAAGTGCTGATGGATTTCTGTAGTGTACTGAAACTCTCTAAAACAGGGATGTCAAACTCATAAGTACACTTGGGCCAAACAAACAAGGTTTAACTTTAGGTGGGCCGCAAAAAAAAATCAATATTCATAGAAACGTAGATTTATTTCGAATAATACCAATAATAACATATATATATATATTTATATAGAAAAGAACAAGAAAATTTTAATGTTTACGTCCTGATACTTGACATCTCTTCTCTGCTATTATCTTTCCTATTTCGGGAGAAATTTTGTTTGTGGTGATAACTTTCAATGCTGACCCAAGGTGAGCATCATTAATACGGTTTCTAATAGAAGACTTATTACCTTTCATGACTGAAAATAACTGCTCGCACTGATACTGCTAATTACTTAGCAGTAAACATTTCATTTTTTTCGTCGATATGTTATTTTATTATTATATATTATTATTTGCCGATATATTGGCCGGGCCGCAAAAATATTTGTTGTGGGCCGCATGCAGCCCGCGAGTTTAACATCCTTGCTCTAAAATAATGTTGACCATCTTTACTATTTCTCATAGCAATGCAGTGAGAGAATTTTCAGTATTTTTATCAAAACTAGAGCTAAGTTTAAAATTCAGTATGAATGGTTACATACTGGAAAAAGTTTTATTAGTCTAAACAGACTGTCAAAGGAATTACTGTGTTTAAAGTTGGGATGCTTCTTTCTTAAAGGAAATAAAAAATTAACAAATGTACAGAATAGATTAAACTTTTTTTTTTTTTCCAGTGAAACATTTCAAATGTCAAAAATGTATTTTTTGTGTATGAGTATACATGTATTGTATTGCCTTTATAACTTAATGGTTGTACTTTCAGATATTAATTAGATAAAATTTATAGTTTTTTATTGTAAAAAATCTTTTATGTATATATTTTACTGCTTTAAAAATGTTTTGTATCACTAAAAATTCTTGGCAAAATTGGCAAGTTGGCACATCTACTAAGATAATTTAATGATCTATGATTTTTTAAAGATTTCATTTGTTATCAGATCAGATTGGGTAGAAATTCAATAAATTTTAAACTATTTTTATGTGAATGCAATGTCTCATATACTTCTTGAAGTGATATATTTTAATTAGGTACCTAAAGTGAAGCAGAGAGTTGATATTTTTGCAGCCAGTGTTTTCTGTTCTTTTAATTAACAAGTTCTTTCCAACATTATCCTTTTTAATTGCGATTTTAATTCTTTTACTAAATTTCGATATATCAGATTTGTATTATATGACTGAAGCAAAAGAAGCATTTCTTTAGTCCCTAAATCCCGAATCAGCTTGGTATATTTTCTCTTGATGAAATAATAAATAAAATGCAGGAATGAAAGCAAAATGCAGAATCTAAATTTTGAATAGTGGCCATAACACTATAATGTTTTGCCATTAACTAGTTTTCAAATATAGCAAGTCATTGAAAATCCTTATTTATTGTTATGTTCTGAAAAACTGGAATTTTCAAGTATATGTTTAACTGATACTTGATGTTATTGATTCAGAAATTTTACAAGCCCTGAATTTTTAAATCATAATTTAAATGTGTAAAATAAAATCCTTTTGTTATTGCAGAACATCCAGATTCAGAATGAATCTGTAGATTTGAAATTTGTTTCATTATCAATTTTATATTTTGTAACACTTTAACGAACTTTTGATTAACAAACTTAAATATTTCAAGGCAAGCAATGACAACACTTTGCGAGGAAAAAAAATTTATTCCCAGCGCACTTAACTGTGTATCGGAAATTCTAAAGATAGGCTCATTTTAAAATTATTTCGTGATATTGCTGCTGAATTGAACTTAATGGTTTAAGTGCAAAGAACATGATATTTAATAAATAAAGGTAACGCAGAAAACGTTAAAAAACATGCCCCTTTGGATGTAATTTAAAATCTGAAACCTTTCCTCTTATGATTTAATCCAGTATTTGCTGTCGGTAAAAATCTCCTAAAATTTATTAATCAAAATTGTAAAAAAATTATCTAACAAACTATGTTGGAAGATTTTTACACATGCCAGAGTGATCTTGAAAAAGATGTTTTTAAAATGTTTCTTTTTATTTTTAAAATTCTTTTTCTATTTTATGTTTCCATTATAAACATTCGGGTTTTCTTCATTTTCCGTTTTCAAGATTGGGTAACTAACATACCAGTTGAAATATTGTTCATTGATATGTATTTTCAAAAGCAGATCTCTCTGTATATTAGGTCACACTGCTTTTAATAATTCATTAATTGCTGACATCAGTAGTACAATTTAACAGAAGTAGTAGTTCTTAGTAGGCAGTCCCCATAATCAAGATTAGTATCTCCTTGCTGGTATTTCAGTAAAAACAAAGCAACAGTTCCAGGTCTATATTACAATTATTGCAGAAGTAGGATGATTAAGATATCAAGTTTTAGATTTGTGAAAAACACATCTAGTGAGAAAAGGGCATACTTCTAACTGAAGGGTAGCTTGACCATATCAACCAATTAAATAACTTACACAAATTTCAAACATATTTTTACATGATAATGTAGAATTTGTTTTTTTGGGCAGTCTTCATGAAACAGGGCTTTACAGTTCTTCCTGTCTCCATCTGTCTATGCAGTATTTCTGTCGTCAGTGCTTTCTCGCTTTATTGCATTATCATTAAAAAGCTTCTTTTTACCTTTACAAGTTTATAATGAATGAAATTGAAATAGTAAATATACATTTGAATCATATATTTAATGTTAAATTAAGCATACCTTATTAGAATTAAAAAATGATAAAGATTTAATATATTTTTCCCCTTGTATATAAGTAAATTTGGTGCTTCCATATTTTGGCTTCCGTTACCAAAGTTTGCGTATACGATTGCCTAAGTTTTCCTGGTGGTGAAATCAGGTATCTGTTAAGCAGGATCTTAATTAGTAAAATATGCATTATATTTCAGTAAATTAAATTAAAAAATTTTCATACATGTATGTATGAAATAAGCGGAAATAGTAGTAGTAAGCTTTATGAGATTAATAATGTGTGCTGTTATTGTAATGAGTTAACTATTAAGGTAATAATTAGTGCTGTTTAGTAATAATTGCCGAAATGAGCAATCTTTGTTTGTTAATTTTCCCTAAATGTTGGCAGATCACTTATAAAGTATTGCATGATCTAAATTAATAAATTCTTTCTCAGATGTCTCGATGAATTTTGCTTGAAATATTGTACAACTTTTACATATAATTTTTTTAAAAAAATATGATGATTACCTCACTAACTGAATTTTTTTTACCTTTGAGGATTATGTAAAGGATTAGACTGTATGTTTGCAAAAACTTCTCTTTTAAGATATTGAATTTTATAAAATTCTTCATCTTAATTTGTAAAACTTTGGAAATAGAAGAACTTGTATAAGATCATTCCAATCAATTAGTCACTGTTTGCTGCCATCTTTTATAAAGCACTTTTACCAAATCCAGTGTCTGATGTCTTTCTGAAGTAGTGATGTTTATGACAAGGTACCAAAAATTTGCATAAAAATTAACTTTGACATATAATGAATGTATTTTATTATATTAGATATTTATTCTAAAGTTTTCCCTACTTAGTACAAAATCAGTATATTTTGTCATGAGAAGCTCTGAGCTGTCTTATGAAGATTTCTGTTTTTGTCTGATAAATTGTTTTTTCTTAACTGTTCATACTTTTAGAGTAGGTGATATTTTTACGTATGTAAGTACAGATGAAGCCCAACAGATGATTGAGGCAAAGAAAGATGAAATTGCTAAGGAAATAAATTTGTTACGTGATCAACGAGAATGTATCAAACAAGTTATGTCTGATCTCAAAGTTCAATTATATGCAAAATTTGGGAGTAATATTAATTTAGAACCTGAATAACATTTAGGTAAAATATATATTTCTTTTTCTTCCTCCCCCCTTCCTTTTTTTGTGCTGTGCTCCATTTTATAATTTTTCTTAAAGTTTATTCAATTTGAATTGTGCTACTGATCTACTGTAGACATTTGTGTAATTTTTTTATGAAACTGTGCATATTCCGTCTCCCCATTCCTTGTGATTTTGAGCATAACTATTTTTATTAAATTGTATTTAACATGACTTGTCTTAATCTGCGGTAGACAGTTTTAGAATTTTTTTGAAAAGTCAATGTTTAATATACATATTTAATTTTTTTTACATCAAGAATATACTTACTAAGTTTATCCATGCAGCAAGTATATATTAATTATTATTTTCACTGTACTAAAGTACTTCAGTTTAATCAAAGATTTTTTTCGGGCCTTTTTGTACAGTCCTTAAAAGTACTTAAAAAGTCTTTAGATTTTTGTTCCTTATAAGTCCTGAATTTTGTACAAAATTGGCAAAAGGTTCTTAATTTTACTAATCTGACATTTCCATCTGTTTTTTTATGACTGCCATTTTGAGTGTGAATTAATATTTTGGAGGAATATTTTTTGACAATGCATTGACAAATATATATTTAATGGGTCAATGTTTGAATTCTTTACTACTACTTAATTTACTTGATGCTTGAATTTTAGGCACTGCCTGAACTGAACATAGACATTTCAAAATTATTTCTTTTTTGGTAATGAAGAGTTCATAAAATATCACACCAAAAAAGGTTTCCTTTTTTTGAAATATGAGTTCTTTTATTATGTGGCACTAAATTTGGTGACTTATCAACATTTTGGCAATTTTAAGATCAGTTTGTATACAAAATTTATTTGGAGATTTGTGAATTCTTGGATGATTTTTTTAGAAACATTATAAGATTGATAATATAGTAAAATCATATTAAGGAAATAATGTTAAAATAAATCATTTTTATTTTTTTCTAACTTATTTTAAAGTGATATTACTTTTTATTTTTGTGACTTAGCAATATTTTGATTTTGAAAAATAAACAAAATAAAAAATGCTATAAATATAAAGTTCTGAAACTTTCTTGAGAATAAAACAAAAAAGCTACTCTAATTATTTAAAAATTAATTTCATTTGTTTTCTTTTATATTTTTCTATAGTAAGTGTCTTTTCCCATTTAATTGTGTCAGAATATTTAAATGTGTATCAATTTTCTGTTGAGAATTCTTTTTGCACTTTTCTTTTCTGAACCCCCTCAAATCATCTAACTTTTTGCTTTTACAGAGTATTTTAGATCTAGCATCTCGAAAGCTATAGAAGGATTAAAAGGCAAGAGCAATGGACGTGTTTTATAGGAAATTTGGGATTAATTTCTTGGCTGTTGAAGAATTTTTGGAAGAACAACAAAAACAAAATGAGTTGAATCTTCTCCTTTTCATCCCCAAAGTCTTTCTCTTAACATGTTTATCTTCCTGGTAGACACAAGCATTGAAGCAAGCAAAGAAATTGAAAACCAACAATTTATTAAAAAATTCATATTATATGTCTCAGTGCACCATATATATCTTAGTTTCTGTACTAAATTTTAAAATTTTTGCCATGCTTTTCATTCTAAAAATCTGCCACATTGGCTTTACCGGCAGCCCTCACCTTATTTCATATTTATTCTCATATTATTGGAGAAATAAATTATAAGTTTTTTGTATACATTCCAAATACAGGCAGTTCTTTAGAAGGAGAGAATTATTTAATTAAATCAGAAAATTTTAAAATGAAGAGAGAACTCATTGAAGAAGAAACTGATTTTATAAAAGAGGCTTCAGAAAAAATATTAACAAACTAGGAAATGAAACCGAGACTAGTGGGAACATTGACTTATTTATTGAAACAAATAAACTTAGAAAAGATGCTAAGGAAAAGGAAATTTATGTAAATTAGCTAAAATATTTAGAAAATTTTCAAATTAAAAAGATCTATAAATATTTTGTTGTTTGTAGTTGCTACAAAGCATAAATATTTCATAGCGTTTATGAATATCATTTTAGAATCAATGTCATAAATTATAATTCTGTAAAATGTTCTTAGTGCTTTTTCATTGGGTAATTTTTTAAATAAAAACTGGAATCATAACCATCTAAATCTGTTGTGACTAAGGATATCTAGCTATGTAATTTAATTATTTGTAACTAACTGCTTACTGTTAAAAGTTTTCTCTGCATGTGAAGGTGATTTATTGGTTTTTCCTTAACGCCTTCTTGGTTGGATTTTTTATTGGATTTCTCACCTCAAAAAAGAATTTGTTAATATGAGCCACTTTCACTCAGAAAATCCTCCTTGAAGATGTTCCTTCTTTAACAGACTGTGCCATAATCAGAATTTTTTTTTTTAAATTCAAATGAACGTATCAAGGCACTTGTACAGTTTCAGAAGAGTATTAATGTAAAGTTTGAAATGCTGCAAGTGTTGACAGCTTATTTATCAAATGTTTGAAATTTATAGAAGGCAATGATATGAGAGAGGGAGAAGAAGGATATTGAATACGGAATGCACTCAAGGACTGTCTAAGAGGAGGGAAGCTTTTGTAGAGGACTCTCGTATGGAAATTGGCTTGTATTTACATTACATGTGGGAAAACCATGAAAACCATCCATGTAGTTAGCTCATTTATTTGGATTCTAACTTTGGCAAAACTACTAGTATTCAGCCATGTTAACTACTTGGTCACTGGTGGACCTGGAGAAGGAGGGAAAAATGCCATGAGATGTATTGTTTTAACAAATGCATTATAATTCATTGGACACTTAGATATTATCATATGAATATTCTTTAATCTCATTTTGGTATAGTAATGGGTAAGTTTAAAATATTATGAAATGACTAAAATGTAAGATAGAGAGGTAATGAGTGGGTATGATTGCCATGAACGCTAATCTCTTAGATTTTTTTTTTTTTTTTTAACACAAAACTTAATTAAGTATGACCCCCCAAAAAGTTGCTTTAGATGTATCTCATGAAATTGTCTTCCTAAAAATGCATTCATTTTTATTAAAATGAAACTTCTTTTTTTCCTCCCCATTTTAGTTCCCTGATAATATTTACAGTGGCATTGCCTTTGTGAGGATGAAAGTGGAAGCTTGTTTACAGCTTTTTGCGCAGTTGGTTTTGTATTAACACATGCTTGTAAATACCAAATGTAAAATTTAAAAAAAAAAAAAAACAAAAACAAAAAAAAACATATATATATATATGAAAATGAATAAAATAAAAAAAAAAGTCATTGCTTCTTTTTTGTTTTTTTACTTGGAGTATAATTAGAAACACAGATACCATATTTACTTACTACCTTTTCTTCAACAAATTTACCCCTCAAAAAATTCTAATGTGTACCATTTCTGAATCGAAGGGTTAAAGGAACAGCTTAACAAATTAAAAACAAATAAAAATATAAATGCTGATTAAAAAAGTACTGCATTATAGATTTTAATTATAGTTATTATTTATCGTACTCTTTTTATATTCTATTTATATAATAATTTTCATATCTATTCGTACTTAGTATATTGCTACTATAAATCTAAAGTTGAAAGTTTATAAATCAGGTGCAAAAAGTTGGGAGGGAAATTAAGCAAGGGAAGAACTGTGCGAGTAATTGTATATTTTAATCTGTATGTGTAGCAAAGGAAGAAATGGGGGAACTTTCAGAAATTTTTTATTAACAAACAACGATTTCAAAGCGAGCAATGGCAACATTACGGGGGGGGGGGAACTTATCACCAGCGCACGAGACTGTATATTTGAAATTCTAAAGATATGCTCATTTTAAAATTATTTTGCAATATTGCTGTTGAATTGAATTTTATAGTTTAAGTGCAAAGGACATGATATTTAAAAAATAAGGGTAGCATACAAAACACTAAAAAAACGCCCATTTTGGCATAATGTAAAATCTGAAAGCTTTCAGATTTTTTATTTATTGTTATTACTGATGTATTTAAGACTCCAATTGAATTTTTGCATTTACAGATTTTTATCTTGTTACCAATGATTTAACTTTAGAAACTGTTTGTTACCGGTAATGTATGAAACGTCGGCATTCATAGAACAGCTAAGGCATTTTATAGAATCCCTGGCGTTTTTAGGCGAAATATGAGAATTATTATATACATTACCTAGGCATTTTATAGAATGACAATTGCGCTTTAGGCAAAGTATGAAGAAGGGTTGTGATAAACTATTATTTAAAAGACGTTCATTTCTGAAAAATACAGATGTTATTTTGATAAATTAATGAAGGACTGCCATTAAAAAACTTTCATTCTAAACACGTTTAAAAAAAATTAGTGAGATCATCTTAGTACACCATATTAAAGTTGTATACTCTATCTGACTGGAAATCGGTAAGATCTATCTGAGTTACCATAGGTTTCAAAATAATGCTCTGTTTTAATACCCTTTTGTTTTTTATGGCAGGGCTGACAAAGATGGATGTAAAGTTAAATATCATTCTGTGTAACATTTTTGTATTTGGTTTAAAGTTCCTTGGACATTCCGTTGTGGCCTCTGTGTCGAACAGCCAAATGAATTTCATGAAATACGTGAAATAACTGACGCCGCCTTTAACAGGACAAATGACTTTACTTTTATTTCCCACAAACATCACATCATAGCGATTCAGCAACCAGTAGTCCCGTGGATCCTTCTTACCAGTCATTTTCGCTTCTTAGCATCATTTTTCTGCTAAGTAGTATCGGTTACTCGAAAAGAGCCGATCTGGCATTCTATCAAATGCTTAGACAATGTGCAAAATGTTTAATCGTTTCATACATACATTGCCGGCCAGAGAATGCCGGATTTCATTACTTTGCCAGCATACCTTTTTTGAATGTTTGTTCCATGTAGAAGTAATAATTGACGGTTCCTCCCGTTCTGATTTATAATTTTGCTTATTTTGCATTTCGAAATTTGAATTATGCATTTCATAACATTTCTAAATTACGAAATTGTCTTCAGAAAGCACAGTAACATATCCTTCAAACCACAGCTTCTTTATGTGCGACATTTTGAAATAAGAATGAATTTAAAAGTAGCAGACGGCAGTTCTCATTTCAAATAATAAGCTGTTGTCAGAAATTTGTATTCTCCTTCCCCCAACAACAACAACAACAAAAAAAAAAAAAAAAAAAAAAAAACACTATTGAAATCATTCTAAAAATGTGTAAACATCCTCTATATTATATTAAAGTCAAGCTTTTTCAGACTGAAGAGTGAGCACATTAATTCAAGATGATTATTTACCTTGTTCGGCCAGAAGCTTTCTAATGAATAAAGTGCATAAGAACCAGCCATGACATTTACCTGTATTCGTTGAATGTATGAAATGGGAACATATAAGCTGTCTCAACCAGGGATCACTACGAATAAAAAAAAACTTACTGTCAGTTTTCCATGCTCAGTTGAGTTCATAAATAAATAAAGCTTTAAATTTCTTTATTCGAAGTTATAGTTGTCAAAAAGAAAGCAGCTGTTAAAAACGGCATGACGAAAGTTTTGAAATCAATCAGCCCCTGATGCGTAATGGCAGACCGCACATTGAGTTGAACAGTGTTAAACGAATGTCGCATACTGCGCATGCTCAGAAAACAATTTGGCGTAATTACTATGTTGGCGCGATTTGAAAAGAAGATAAATACGGTATATGGTAGATGTATCGCCATTCTAATTGTAAACAAATCTGGCGTTTAAATCTGTAGAGTATAATGTAATTAATACTGTGTTTAAAATACTATTTTTGCTCTACTGCTCAAACAACCAGAAAGCTGAAATTATTGCGAATAATGTGACAGTGTTTACATTCAAAATGTGAGATGTAATACTTATGAAATTCTGCACATTTCTTTGGAACTGTGCAAATTTTCATTCAGAAAAAGACTGAAATTTAGGCTATTTTAGTTAAAAATTTATTCATTATACTTTTAAGCAACAAAGACAATTCAGGATTTAACCATACGTTCCATTCGTACGTACATACATACATAAAGAAACACTGAGGAATGTAGCAAGTGCTTGTAAATAACACTGAAGAAATTTTACAATTCCTTAATGCTGTTTATTAAATTTTTTGAAATGAGAAAATAAAAGCGCGAATATACGCTAACAAACTAGCGAGATACTCCAATTTACAATACTGAATTGTAACAGTAAACAAATTACATTTAATAAACGAATTATTACGAACATATGTTAACAAATATTAAATGCACTGTTATTGACAAATTAAAATGAAGCATATATTAGATAAATAAGGAAGTGCAATCGGCATGGACGTTAAAATAACTAATAAGCAAAGTTCCACAACATTTGCAGTTTTAAACATCACTCGAACACACTAGACAGCCATGGAGATCACGAATAAGCTAACAAAGGGTTGCTTAGTCGCCAATATTTCTTCCCGCACCAAAGGTACACCATCAAGCATGCGCAGTAAGCGAAATTCGCTTAACACTGTTCAACTCAATGTGCGGTCTGCCATTACGCGCCCCTGATCAGACGATGAAATCGTCAAGGTTGACTTCAGCTAAACGAGTACATTTAAATTAATTAAGGTTAATGAGTAGTTTTGTGATTTGATGGAATATGAAGAAGAAATATAAAGATTAAGAAAGTCTTCAGTATTACGGAAGCATATCAGCACCCATTTGCTTTATTCTAAGTGAAAACGAAATGATTGTTAAGTAAATTGGACTCGAATTATAATATGTAGCTAGAATTTGAGACATCTGTTTTGAAATGTACCGGAAATTTGGTAACTAGTAAGTAACTTTTGCTGCTGTATATGAAAGATCGGTTTTGAAATATCCCAGAAACGGAAGCTTTTGATTATAGGTGAAAGAAATTATTCCAATGTCCAATTTTGTAAGGATTTAGTTTAACCAAGCAGTTCTGTTTGGTATTTTATTATCTAATTTTTATTGTTGTTGCTTTATTCTAAACCTTTTTTGAAGTTGCTAATTTATGAAGTTTGTTATTAGAAGAAAAGAGGGAGGTTGATTAATTAAAGCTTCAGTACTACTTCATTGCATTTTCGTTATTACACTCAGTGAATTTCACAAATATATTTAATGCCTCGGTAGACTTATGCCAAACTGGGTCATCTTTGGTTTCTATAATCCATTCAACAAATTTGGTGTTCAAAAGCAATGATTAAAGAATTGTTAAAATCAACAGTCTGTACTGAGTTCAGATTTCATTTTTACTTCCTTTAACAGCATTTCGAATTTTTACTTTTCATTTTTCAATTTTTACTTCCTACAGAACATTCAGCCATAGCGAGTCTTGTTTTCTACATAACATCAAGCCATAATTAGTTCCGAAGCAAGTACGTGCACTTCCATTTTCTTCCAAATGGCATGCTAATAGCCTCCTCATATTATTGGCCTTCTGTCTCCCCCGGATGTACTATAGAGTCTATGGGTATTCTTTGGTAACATACAACTTTGACTCTACGTCGAAGACGATGTAGCAAATTCCCGCTATGTCTTTATGAACAAATACTGCAGAAGACAGGTTTAAATAACCTTTTTATTTAAACTAAATTAAAACAGATGTACCTACTTCGTGCTCACAAATCACCACCACTTGTGGCTAACGAAAATTAACAGAAAATAAGAATATAAATGCACGTTAAATTTTTGAGATAACTAACGACTGGCTCCTTAGCTTTAACTAACGCTAAATCGACTGCACACAGCAAAGCCGAGCCAAGAAATATCAGTATAAACTGAAAGGTGTCGAATACCGAACTAGAGAGCTAATTTTAAATTCGTAGCATAAACATCAGAACTAAGTCCGCTACTGTCCTCTTTTTCGAACTCTTGAAACGCAGCTTAAATACTGCTTCTGAAACACGTTTAAATTTGAATACTATGTCATTTAAAATTTACATTCTGACAGGAAACTGAAATCAGGAAGGAAAGTAAAACTAAAAATTATTGGTTAGAATAAAGTAAATCTTTATAGTACGTGTACCAGATTATCAAGTGTGCTGAATCAATAAGTGCTGGATTATCTAATTATTGTCTGAATTTGATTAGAGTTTAAAAAAATATTTGAAGTTGTGAATTTCATTCATTTATTTTTCAATTGCTGGGCATCTCATTAAGCATTCGTCGGAAATAGTTATCGCCATCCGGTCACCGAAACTTTTCTCAGGATGCACAACAGAAAGCCACTCTGGTTAGATCTGCAA